GGCCAAGCAGCATCAGAGGAGCAGGAAAGCTGATGTTTCAGGTCGAGACCCTTCTTCAGACCCTTTTACTGAAGAAGGGTCTCGACCCGAAACATCAGCTTTCCTGCTCCTCTGATGCTGCTTGGCCTGCTGTGTTCATCCAGCTCTACACCTTGTTATCTCAGATTGTCCAGCATCAGCAGTTCTTACTATCTCTACTACCTGATTTAAAGTTTAATCTGCTAATACTGCATAAAAGTGTCTGCTGTTGTGTTAAAGTCTCTGGAGCGTGCATGAACTTAGGCTTTCCTGACTCAAAGTTTAAAACAATATCGCAAACCTAAGCTTAATATCCGTTCTAATGTTGTATTCTCTAACCCTTTTGGGAACTCTCAGTTTTTTTTAAAAGATCAATGAATTCACATGAGCAGGGCAAGTTATTCGAGTTATCCTACAGACTTTCAGCAATGGTAGCTGTTTTACCATTATACTTTATTTCTGCTGTGCTTTTGCATTACAGATGTTCCACTTAATAGTTAACAGAGATGGCTGGAATGAGTAAATTATGAAGCATTTACTGCTTTATGACCTCTCGAAAACTGGTTCTTACACAAAATTCTATCAGATGGGATTAAAATGAAATGAGGGTCAATTCATCATGTAAGATCATAGAAACATAGGAACAAGAGTAGGCCATTCAGCCCCTTGAGCCTGTTCCTCCATTCAGTGAAACCACAGATGATCTGAGGCTTAACTCCATACACCTGCATTTGGTTTGTATCCCTTAATACGTTTGTTTAATAAAAATTTATCTATCTCAGATTTAAAATTAACAACTGATCCAGCATCCACTCTATTTGTGGAAGAGAGTTCAAACATCAATCACAATTTCATCAATCACACCTATTTCGCCAATCAGATATCCAGTAGATTTTTGACTTGATTTGACATGCAGTTGGAAGGTTAAAATATACTGGAGTCATTCAAGTTTTCTGTTTGGCTGCAGGCTTAGAAGAATGCTGCACAATTGGAATAAAGTATTCAACCATTGATACTCAATATGACAAATCTTTGGCAGAATTTGTAAAAATGCACTTTGCTTTTCTCCATTAATAATTCATATTTTTATGACATTTGAAAAGTTAACTTTGGAGAAGACATCTATTAGATCTACATAATTAACTCACCAGTAAATTGACAAGCCGCATAGAAAGATTCCCCAGATCTTGCACAAGTCAAAGATCAGAGAATAAATTGAGTTTAGCTCATTTCCATTGTATTAACACAATATTCCATCAAGAATATATATTTCCAAACCCTTTACTGTCATAAATGGAGCGTTCAAAATACTATATTCATTACTAGTACAAAGGATTTATACAAAACTGTTACACGTCAGCCACCAGTGTAAATTATATTGCTTAACACTGGGTAAATACAGGAGTTTTTAAAAAATTTATAGCACATCTGATAAACCACGACTGCTTGAACAATTTATATTTTTAACTCTCTGACTATTGGGACACCCATAGATGTATGCCTTCTCATTGACATCCAGAATTAAATATTTCTTTGCCGGGGCAAGTGCAAGATGACAAGAAAAACAAAGAAGAAGCAAGAAACAAGGCGCTTCTCTGTGGACAAGGAAAGAAAATGATACTGTGCTAAATAATGAGTGTTGTAACAATAGCACAGATCTCTTAGCTAAGGAATATATGTCTCATGGTAAAGGATGGGTGAGGGGATGACATTAATTGTTCCAATATGAGTAAAAGGTTAAATGCTAAGTGGGGATTTTCTCATTTCATTCAACAATCAAGAAAAATAAGTGAATTCAGGACATACCCATTTCACTCATTGGGTGACATTGATATTAGTGGAAATTACACACTATGTAATCAGTATTCTGCTCAAGCATTTTAGAAATAATTGGTGACAATGAACAATGGCGTTTTAACCAGAAGCATGATCATGAGAAAACTCCTAAATGTTAGCTGCAGATTAAAATTCGAATAAACACCCTCTGAACACACATCTGCACTCTTCTGTTGGGCAAACCAACTGTAAAGCTATGACATGGATAAGAGTATTAAAACCCTGATGTTGCACTTGGTGTGGAAGAAGATAATAGTAATTAATGCTTGTATTAAAAAGAAGTGTCACAAAATTAATTCAGTATTCTTCCTTTCAGGATTGCATCACACCATTGCGGAGCTTCAAAACACTATCAGTAATGAGCAAAAGAAAAGAAAAGCCAAAACAGAGACAAAGAGAAATGGTAAACATGAGCAAAATAGGAATTGGCAAAACAAAAGAGTACCGAAATCAACTGTAAATTGTATTATTAATGCACTTGCATTAAAAGTTCATTCTTAATAATTTAATGGATTTTTGCTTTCTGAAATTACATTCAAATCTGTAGCATCACTTGTCTGTCTCTCCCGGCTGTCTGAGATGTCTAAGTAGGAGATTTTGCCGGTGTACTCATTGGTCCAGAAGATCTTTCTGCCTTTAATATACACATCCATCATACTAATTTTGACAGTCTCATCTCCTTGAAACACTTGTTCATAGGCTGAGTTAGGGTCAAATGGATATATACTGCGGATTTCATTTCTGGTTGCAATGTAGAGCACTTGATGTTCTGAACCTGTATGAAGATTACAAGGAGAAAAGGTTACACCTTGCAGCCACACATTTAATGTTTCCACTCATTTTAAGGATTATGAACACAGATCAATTTTCAGGCAAGTGTGGACCATTGGTCCATCAAATCTATTATCCAACTTCCCATAAGATCAGCTTAACATCTATAATTATTATGAATCTAATAAATCTGAATTCTATTTGCTGAAGGAAACTTGCTTGTTGAACCCTATCATAATGTGTTACTTCATCTCTTTTTTCTGGATACTGCGCACATTTCACATATTTATTGCTGTATCAATGAAAAGTAATAGCTTCTTCTTTTCATTTTTTATTTTGCGTCTTTAATTTGAAATCATAACCTGGCAGAAGAACCGCATTGAGCATTTGTCCTCCAAACCACAGGTAATCTTAATTACTTTAATCAAATCAGTACTTAACGTTTTTTAAACTGAGAAGATTTCTAGGGTATATATCTTCCTTCATAATTCTGTCACCTTGGTTCTGTAATTAATGAAGTAGCCTGATTTTGCACTACCCTGTAACTTAATAAACACTTAAAAGCCAGAAGAGTAAAACTGTACCCTGTTCTGCCTCTTTATTGCCAGATTAACTTTGAGAATATAGTTTTCTTGGTTTAATAATTTCCAAGCTATAAAGTTGAATTTTTGATTTGCTTTTGCAACTGCTTAGAAAGACAACAATGATAGTAACCTGGCCACTCAAATCCCTAGATCTCTTTTCCTGATATGATTTACGTGTGACAATTAACAGTAATATATAATGTTCAGCTCTGCAATGCATTAATTTATAACTTCACACTTGACATTAAATTGCATCTGCAGTTTTTTTCTCCTACAGACTTAGTTTCTTTAGGTGTCTCTGAATTTTGGAATATCAATGATAATCTTTTGTCAGCAGTTCTAGTTTGACATTACCTGTGTCTTTGGCACTTTGGATTTATGCCCACTTCCCAATTGTTTATACAAATGATCAAATGAGTCGAAACCCAACTTCTTTACATCAGTACGCAATGCCACTCACTAAGCTTACCTGTTCGATCTTAGCCAATCAAACGCTTCTAATTTTTTCTATTAGTTTGATTCTTAATAAAATTGTACTTCATAAGAGACAATTTCATGTGCCTTTTTGAAGTCTATACAGAAAACACTCATGAGTAGGAGAAAGAAAATATATGAAGACAGTGACTTGGGGAGATAAAAAGGGCTAATATTAAATATGCAAATAGTTTATTACACCAATACTGATGCCAGAGATTACATGATAGAAAGACTTGAAGAGAGATGCTGCTGTGTAAACCTCATGCTAAGTCCAATAATATAAATAGTTCATCAACGTTGAAGAAACAGAAACCTTGAAAAGATCATAGGCTCTAGAAACCTTCCTCAAACAATATAATTTACCCAATCTCTTCCGAGAATACAACCACAATAACGGATCATCTTAGCTGTAACCTGTTCACAGAAAGTTAACATATCTGCTTGGCACAACCTGTCAGTCTTAAACTGACTCTAGCTATTTAGTAAACTCAACATTATATAGTTCCTCGTAACAGGTTTTAACAATTTCCTTGCAATTGAGCTAAAGTTCTCACATCAGTAATTTGCTATTTCTTTCCTACCTTCATTTTAAAATATAAATGTCACATTTATTACTTTTTAATTCACAGTATGTGACTCCAACCTAACGAACTCTGGAGAAGTCCGATCTGGTGAAACCTTTTCCACTGAGACAATTCATCATCACAAGATGAAAGGTGAGAGAACCCTAAGTATTACCTACCTTCAGTTTATACACTTCTTATATTCTCCATTGTAATCTCAAACATATTTTAGTATACACTCACTGTTGAACTCAATCTTGATATTTTGGAGTGTTTAGCCTAATTAATTCACGAACCCATCAAGAAAATAGTGATTTAGGTTCTCAGCAAATTTGCATTGTTCAATGTTCAGTGCTCAGTGATAACATTGTCATCCCTCAATCTCCTTTTTCCTGTTTTTGACACATTTGCTGTTCTGCTAGAGTTACCTCTCACACATACGTTTCTCCACGTGTGAGGTAGAAATTGAAAAATGTACCCAATTCTCACTCATAAAATAGGTACAAAGCAAACTGATTTAGCGGTCTGATGTACAGTGCGCAACCTGCACAGACATTGGTTACATCGCCAAATGGTTAGTGTGTGTTAGAGAACCTCCTTGAGAATTGGTAAGCTCAAGAGCTGAGGAGAGCAGTCATTAGGCTTGGTTTGTCAAAGATTCTACAGCAGCTTCCCAGTTGGTAACAAAAGGTAAATTATATTTTCTGTGAACAAAAGAGGATTGGAAGAGTTCCCTCAACCTCCATAATGCAGTAAACAGGCTTCTGTTGCTGAATCAAACTGCATCCCTCCAGAACTTATTAAGTGCTGGCAGCAGCTCAAACTTCTAATTCTTGCATCATTCCCAGCCAGCTCATCTGAAATATGAATTTGAGCCTTAATTTCAGGACAGTCTCAGGTCTGTCTGTTCAAGCCTAGGCTGATTTCTACGCTACCATGTCTTTCATTAACATTTCCTTTCCCCGTTACTTTTTAGAGAGTTCTAGTCTGTCCCTTCTCGAACATTTTAAAATGCTTTCTCATGCCACGTCGTCTGTTGATAACTTTAGTCATCTACTCAAGCATTTTTTTACCTTTGTTGTTGACTTATTTCTTGAATAAATTGGTTTCTCAGCCAACAAAACAATTAAAAATGTTCTTAACTTCTTTTATGTGCTAATTGCTCAAAAAAACTGCTTAATCTCTTATATTCTCAAGGTGATTTTGTAACTAAATTTCTTTTTTTGTTGTTTTCTTCATAACTATGATCATGAACTATGAACTATGTTCTCTGTCTAATATGTGACTTAATAAATCCTCGTTAATAGCAATTCCAATACTGTAGACTCCTTCACAAATAATTTTCAAATAAGACTCGAATAACTTCAATAAATTCTGGTTCGCAAACTGTCCCTGTTGTACTATTGGAAAGAATGAAAGCTTTGTGATTCAAACTTAAAGCACTGATCTATTTTATGACCTTCACAGCAGTATATCTATCATCCCTTGTAGCCTATAGCATATCCTAATCACTAACTTCTCCCCTTTGCCCCCTTTTAAATCCATACTCACAGTAGTATTTCCAATGCCATTCTTTGCAGTTACTGATAAGTAGTGTCTATCCATCATTCCTTCTCAGTGAAGTGCCTTGGGACTTTTTGCTACATTAAATATGCTGTTTAAATGTAAACTGCTTCACTTTAACCACTTATCAATAATTCTTATAATGTTGATCTGCTGCCTAGTAACCAAGTTTTATTCCTTGCATTAAATAAAATTTAAGTCATCCTTCATGATTCTTAGTTGATATTGCCTGGCTTCCTTAGCTAGTGGCCTGTGGTGCCATAAGAGTGAGGCAGCTCTTCTTACACTCTGCCTCAGGCAAATAAAAACAGAAAATGCAGGAAACATATGGTCAGCAGGATCTATGGCAGGAATAACAAAGTTAAACTTTTCAGGTGCATGTCGTTTTCTCAGAAGTGTTGATGAAAGGCCTTCAACTTGAAAAATCATGCAGGCCTTCCTCTCCCATGTCTCAATGCCCCTGTCAAAATGACCTGCAGGATTGGAACTCTGAAATATCAGGATCATGACCACAAAGGTTTTGGAGAACCAGCCAATTAAGGGACCACCTCTAGAAGCCCATCCTTTCATGGATAGCGGGCAGGTGTCTGACTCAGAAGAGCCAATAGGAGGACATCAGCTCTGAAGGTCAGGTGTCCTACCATCGGAAAATGGTGCAAAAGAAGTATGTAGTGTGGTGTGAAAGGGCTTCCATTCCTCATCACTGACCACAGATATAAGAAAGGCTAAAAGGTTCAGAGCTTTTTCTCATGAAGAAGAAAGCCTCCCTCTCCCACCCACAGTGATAGATACTGCTGTGTTTACAGCTATTTATTGGTGCGGCACCTTCCCTATTGAATTTCTCAGTGAATGATGTCTCCAGCTCCAATAGCTTCTTGGCTGGCAACTGGGAGGTCAACACCATTTCATGGTGGCTTCCCTGCATCTTGTGTGCTGGCTGGAAAACCGAGACAGCATTGAACATACCTTTAATGATGCCAAGAAGGGCCTGAATTCATCATCTACTGCAACCTGTTGGGTAACCAGTCTTTGCTGGTATCCCATCTCCTGCTGAAACCAAGGGAGATGGGAATGTGTTGGGGAGCCTAAGGTTTCTACACCTTCTTTTTGGACCCTCCTTATCCTGATCTACGCCTACCAGCGCTTGAAATTCCAGTCTGTTAACTCTCTTTCTCTCACCACAGGTGTCACCGAACTTGTTTGCATTTCCAGGAGTTTTTGCGTACAATTCAGATTTCTAGCAATCATTTTTTTGCTTATGCCTAAGGCCATTTTCATCCTGCCTTCTCAGTCTCTTGCTAACTAGGCCAGCAAGTTGCATGAAGGGAAACAGTAGAGCAGTGGTAATGTCACTGGATTAGTAATTAATGATTAACAATCCACAGGCCCAGACTAATACTCGAGAGAGATGGGTTCAGATATTTAAAATTCATTAATAATTTTTTTGGCAGAAATCATACATGGGACACGGATATTGCTGGAAATTAATAAATTTAAAAATGGTCTCAGTAATGGTGTCCATCACTGATTGTTGTTAAAAAATTCCAACTGGTTCATTGATGCCCTTTGATATTCCACTGATGAGATAGACTTTAGACATGCCTCCTTGCTCTACCACCATGAGAGTGAATAACAATGGTAAGCTATCACTGACAAAAGCTGCCAAGAAAACAGCTCAGGATGAAACATCAGCAGATAAAGAGCCAAAGATCCACCTGGCTTCAAGCAGAGGCATGGATGAATGAATAAAGAGCAGAAAAATGGCCTTCTATGGTCTTTCAAAGGGCTGGCACAAGCAAAAGGGGCAAATGGTAATC